TTCGCATGAAGGGGAGAAAAGAAATATCTTTCAACTCGGGCTTTCCCATTCCTCGTATCTAACAAGAGTACGATTCGCAAAAGCCATTGCATTTCCTTCTACTACTTTACTAGCAACTTTTCTTGAGGAATTACCACCTCTGTTAGCCATCATCTTTTTGTATGTTGTGATGAGAAGTAGGTTCATTGCTACCTACTCATCGTTCTTTTTCTTCTCTTGACTTTCACGCTAAATGGCTTCATCAATTTGACTCAAGATTTTTGTCTTCTTTATACCCTGTATCTCCAGCTCAATTTTACGTTCCATAATTTCTTGATCAACAGATTTTTCCTCCAAGGGTGGGGAAGGCGTGGAGTCGAGAGGTATTCCAATGCTCTATAGCTCCATTAATATGTTATCATCAATCGGAAGCATTTGATATTGGGAACTACAGGATGATATATCAAATGTGCCTAGCTTTGAAGAAATTTTTGAACCAGAATCCTCTTTGGAAATCATAGGAAAATCTCCTCTAGCTGGAAATGACAAGCAACAATGAAAGTTCATCAAATGGTTGCTTGCCATTTCCAGCTAGAGGAGATTTTCCTGTGATTTCCAAAGAGGATTCTGGTTCAAAAATTTCTTCAAAACTAGGCACATTTGATATATCATCCTGTAGTTCCCAATATCAAATGCTTCCGATTGATGATAACATATTAATGGAGCTATAGAGCATTGGCATACCTCTTGACTCCACGCCTTCCCCACCCTTGGAGTCAAAATCTGTTGATCAAGAAATTATGGAACGTAAAATTGAGCTGGAGATACAGGGTATAAAGAAGACAAAAATCTTGAGCCAAATTGATGAAGTCATTCAGGGTGAAAGTCAAGAGGTGAAAAAGAATGTTGAGTAGGTAGCAATGAACCTACTTCTCATCACAGCATACAAAAAGATGATGGCTAACAAAGGTGGTAATTCCTCAAGAAAAGCTGCTAGTAAAGTTGTAGAAGGAAAGGAAAAGGCTTTTGCTAATCGTATTCTTGTTTGATACAAGGAATATGAAAGTACAGGAAAGAGATGCTTCAGATAGCCCGAGTTGAAAGAAGTCATATTTCCCCTCTATGCGAAAAGGATATGAAGTATGCAGTGAGTACATTCCGAATGAATTTCAGTGGTGGCTGCCACAAAATGGCAACCCGACGTAAATCTTACCCCAGATATAAAGCAAAAAGCGGTGCTTCGAATGATGCTGGTAAAGCTGCTGCTTCCTTCCTTAGGCGGGGTTCAGATAGGAAATTCATCTGGTTCAAAACTGCAATTAAAGCGTCCATCCTCCTCAGTATCATCAATGAAAGATGATTCCTCCTCGAGTAGGGTGAAGAGAAGAATTTAGTGAGTGAATTCGAGCTCGAGCTCCTCCATGCCCCCAAAGCAATAGGAGCAGTAAATAGAAAGAGAAATAGCTTAAGTTCAAGTAGGAGGGGTGAAAACAGTAGCAGTTCCACCATTAGCAGAATGTTGTAGGAAGAAGTAGAGGTTGAATTTGAAAAACAAAGCAGAGGATCAAAAAGTGGATCGTGTTTTAGCATCGGAAAGTGAGCTTCACAAAGTGCCGATCTCAGCGGACCCAGCTATTGAGAATCTAAGCAAAAGTGTTGCCACTGAGAAAGCTCCATCTGAAGTTAGCAGCATGATTTGGAAGGAGGTTAGTGGGGCTGATGACCTGACAACATTGTTGAACATTGATGAAGACAACATGGCTGACTCAGACTAGGTTGGTCTTGCGGTGCCCATAGATGACCTTTGAGACTTCCAATTTTTCGAATATAAATAATAATTCTGGCATCGCTTCCATGGTGATATCTTTTCTGAGTTGCAAGAACATGAGGATATGGTGCAGGCATTGGACGAGGTGCTGCAGCAGCACCCGGATGATGATAGGGCACTACTTGATTATAAAGAAAGTGTGGCTTTGTTGTAGCGGCAGATATTGAGGAGGAATATGGGTAACAAAAGGCTCATATAGTCGTGTAGACCATATTAAAGTTCTTATGCTTGAAGGGCCATTCAAATGACAAATAGAGAAAGGCTGGCTAAACAAGTCTGGCAATTTAACTTCTAAATTGCATGTTCAGATAATAACAAGATTGACAAAAAGTTTATTAGAAGAAAATTGCAAAGCAACTGAAAGTTGAATAATGCTACTTGATTGATGATATAGAGACTTTGGCACTTTCTGCAACATCCACATTTAGAGATTGTATAGGCTGGAACTTAGTTGCTTCATAGAAGGAAGAGAGGAATGTGCTTACCTTGATTATGTCATCTGAAATAATTCCCGAAAATTAGCTAGAACCATCTGTACCGCCAACCCCAAGCATCCCATGAGATAACAAATTCAACCATCCACGGGGCCTATTGTGAACATCTTCAAGAGGTTTACCAGTATGGCAGTATTCACACTATTAGACGAGGAAGCAAGTAAAACGTCCTGCAAACAAGAAAACTTTTTCTTAACTAAAATTAAGAATTTAAAATGACTTTAAAAAAAATCTTTTAGACCAAGAGAAAGAACAAGATTGCACATGTTTATCATGTTATTCTTATTTCTAAAAAATGATAGATTTAATGCTTCAATTCTTCTTGTATTCTTAAGCTAAACTTCCAAGTAAAATTAAAACTTACATGCACCACTAAATTGACAATGTACGCTAGTAAATCTATTCTATGCATCACACTTACCTACAGCTCACGCTCTGCAACAAATCTGTAACTTAAGATCTCATCAATGTCAGATTCTTTCTCTATTTCCTCTAGCATTTGCATCACATCTTCAGCACTTACCTCATAATCATGAACAAGAGTTTTTATGTAGAATAAAAATGTAGAGAGGCAACACATTCGTTTTTACACATTCATCAAATGAATTTGGTAACAAGTAGATACCAACTAGCATTTTGGCAGATAATATGAAGATAAAAATTTTAGGAATGTAAAATCAACTGTCAAAAAAAGTAGGAACTAAGAAGCAACATACAGGAAGGCAAGTGAAGGGATGAAAAAGGTTGGCAAAAAGATTTTCTGCTATTAGATAATATAGCAATATAGCAATAAAAAATACTTGGGAAAAGGGTCAAATAGGCCCTCGAACTTTAGCTTAAAGTCAATTAGGCCCCTAAATTTTTTAAAGGTGCAATTACACCCATCAACAATTCATTAAGGTGCAATGAAGTCCAAAAACAAGTAAATGACCTGCTATCACAGGTCATTAGGGTTCAGGCCACCTTCCGGCAAATTTTTCGGCAAAAAAAAGTGACCAACAACCGACCCAGATTTGTCGAAAATTTCGCTGGTCACTTTTTTGTCGGAAATTTCACCGGCCACTTTTTATTTTTTGCCAAAAAATTCGCCGGAAGGTGGCCTGAACCTTAATGACCTGTTATAGCAGGTCATTAATTTGTTTTTGGGCTTCATTGCACTTAAATGAATTGTTGAGGGGTGTAATTGCACCTTTAAAAAGTTTAGGGGCCTAATTGACTTTTAAGCTAAAATTCGAGGGCCTATTTGACCCTTTTCCCAAAATACTTTGTTATGTAATAAATTTAATAACATATTTATTAAAATTTAATTAAAAAATAGTAAAATACTAAAGATTTGTTTAAATTTAATTAAAAATACTAAAGATGTAATAAATAGTAGATGTTTGTGGAGTTCTTTTGAGTGGAATACAATGAATCTTTCTACTATTCAACACCATGAAAAGGTAAAAAAAGTATTACTGCAAGTAATTACCACAAATTAAGCATCCATGCTCATCAATTTGTAAGACGTATGAAGAAAATCTAATGCATTATACTAAAAAGATTTCATCTATTTTTCACTCATCTCATAAGCAACCTCCTAAGGTTGAAACATTAGGTTTATGAAAGATATGATAATGGTTTTCTACTTCCTCCTATTATTCTTGAAGAAAGAAAGTATAACTATGTGTTCCATCTCTACTAAGAGCTTAATATGAAGGGGGTTTTTTATGGGCAAAACACATGAATTGATGGGTAGCACGTAGGATTTGAACCTAGGGCCAATAGCCTATGAAGTATGTATTCCACCTAAACTAAAAGTTTAAACCATGAAGTAAACATTTATTATTTTATATTTATCCTCTACATAAAGCACTTAGGTAAGTAGAGCGTCAAAAAGTAGAATAATACCTAGGAAAATGTTGCTTCATAATTGTCAAGCTTGAAAGCTTCAAACCAAATACAGTCACTGCCTGAAAAAAAAAAAATCAAAGCAGAGTTCATCAATGAAAATTCATATAAAGAAAACAGCCATAAAAGAACACACAGCAACATAAATGCCAAGAACCAACAAACTTGAGGGCTAATGCACAAGTTTCCAGGTAAACTACTACCTACCAGATGCATTACACCTATTTTCTAGTTATTATGCTTCACTACTCCTATAGGTGTGACTTCACTGGAAACCTGATGGAGTACCCGTGAAGTCTAAGAGTCCTACAGTTTTGGCAGCTAGAGCTTTAAATTATTCTCAAATCTCAATATCTGCATTTCATTTAAATCTTATTTTCCATCCTATTGTCATGCATTTAATGTTTCAAACACTTCCCTTAAATTTCTATTTAAACTAGATCTTTCTGGTTGAAAGTCAGATTATATATTATTTGAATCCTATTGGAAGTTGGTTTCTTGTCATTTCAGCTTATTTTTCTTCCCCTACTGCATTTCAGCCGACAAATTGTATCTTTTCCTTTCTTTCTGTTGAATGCATACCATTAACTAGGGAACTCCACTTTACTTATTGAAAATTTTTTTTTCTAGTAAATAACTATAGTTCTGCATCATTCTTAGGTAGCATTTAATTAAGATCATGTATAAAAATCGGGCTATTAATTAATAGCTACTATAATAAAGCTGTTTAAAAGGAAAACAAGCATAAATAGTGGTTTATATGAAGTGCAAGATATTAGATATCAATACTATATATGGTGAAACAATACCTCTTTTTCATCTCGTTGGGAGGCACAGATCAATACATCCTCTAAGATGATTATAACAAGATCCCAGCCAAGCTTTTTCCATGGAATCCTAATACTCAACTTGCCAACATGACCTATAAAGATAAATGAAGTTAGATGCTTTAGTATTCTGAACTCATAATCATGAACCATAAATCCTAGATCATTAAAGGCAAAGGAACTGCCTTCTCAATAAGTTTTAGACCCCCTCATCCCCTTTATAATTTCTTTATTAAATTAGAGGATTTTGCACAAGTATTCTGTGATAACTCACTTAGCAGGTTGGGGTTTTAGATTAATATAACAAAGCCAAAGGTCACGCTATTTTAGTTGGCTTGCAATGGCATCAAGTATCAAGTAATACTAAATGGTGTTTTTAAAGCATTCTAAAAGTGCTTGTAGTGGAATAATTAGCAGAATACATGGAAAAAGTACAGAGACTTTACCTTGCTTTAAAGCAAATGGGAACTGAAGGTAATCAAAAGCTTCAAGAATCAGCTCAACATTTTCCATTAATACTTCTTCTAGGATAGTGAGATGATTGTTAATGTAAATTTTATCAAAAATTCAGATTATTGTAAGTAGATATAAATGATCATGATACAGATATGTCAAAAATATAACAAGAATTAAAAAGTTAAAAGAGAGAAAAAACTATTTGCTTCATCCTTTGTTATGTATTGCCAACAATCAAAATATTTACCCATAAACTGTCATTAGAAGCTCAAACCCCAGCACAAGAAATGAAAATGCCCAAACGTAATCACATTAAAGAAAAAAAAGAAGTTTCCCCTTCGTCAATTTCGTTACTATTACTTGTAAACCGGAGCGGAAAAGAGTGCTTTTGAGTTTTCTCAAATGATCAGCAAGTTACGGTTCCACAGAGTAATCTTGAGCTGCTCCGTTTGAATGTCACGAATGTATTGGCCAAGGTAACCAAATAGGGCAAAGAAAATCTAAAGTGATAAATGGGCCGATTAAATTATTATTGGGCTTAATTTTGAACTTAATTATTGGATTACTTTAATTAATTGAGCCATGATAATTAAATTTGGGTCATTATACTATGGATCGCGGCGCATCCAAAACCGCATTGTTTAGAAATGACGCGCCATTACTATTAACGGATCGCGCATTTTTTAGTGTGTTAATTACCAACTAAAACTACAGTGTATCAAAGCTGACACTACAGTGTATCTAAACCGACACAGCCTCACGTATTATTTTATATATTATCAAATGAAATTGAAGTATATCAAAATGAAACTGTAGTTGTGGTGAAATGAAACTGCAATGTATATAAAATGAAATTGAATAACATTTCACATATTTGAGTGTATATTGTGCAATGAAGCTATAATTATATCGAAATGATCATGTAGTTTTGTTTTAATGAAACTATAGTGTATATAAAATAAAATTAAATAACATTTTCACATATTTGAGTGTATAAATATCGAATTAAACTTTAGTTATATCGAAATGAAACTGTATTTGTTTTGAACTGAAACTTCAGTGTGTGTGTGTGTATATATATATATATATATATATATATATATATATATATATATATATATATATATATATATATATATATATATATATATATATATATTAATTATTTTATTTTCCCGCCCAAACTTTTGTAGTAAAACTTATTTGGTAACCAAATGTAAAATATAAATTAATTAAAATTTTTTAATTGATAATATTGATTCCATATTCACGTATCAACCTAATTGGTAATATTTTTTCCTTATATTCATTAATTTATATTGAGTAATTATATATAGAGATATAGATACGTATTCAATGTTTATCATTGCTCAGGATATTTCTCCATTGAAGACTTGCAGTGCTATTAGAATGCAATTGGTGCGCACCTATATGAAGTCCCATAGAGAAAGGGGAGTGACTCCATAAAATCTAGAGAGTGCATGTTTCACAATCAAGAGGTATTTTTTTTCAATTTTACTTTTTTTTCTACAATTCCAATGTTTATCCTTGCCTAGGATATTTCTCAATTGAAAACTTTCGGAGCTATTAGATGGTGATTGGTGTGCACCTATATAAAGTCCCAGAGAGAAAGGGGAGTGATTCATAAAATCTAGAGAGTGCATATTTCATGATCAAATGGTATTTTTTTTCGATTTTGCTTTTTTCTAGAACTCGTGTTGTATATGAAATTGGGAAAAAGATGCATTACAAAGCTGCTTCCTATACTGCAAAAATAAATTGCAAAATAACACTTTTTTTTTTTTACTCCATTGTAGGAAACTTCATGCTCATATACCAAGGGAGCATGTTGGTAAGTAGTGTAAGCTTTTCAAAGAATGAAAAGTTTATGCCATTAAAAATTTTATGGTGATAAGTAATTTCTATATTTACAAAAAAAAAAAAAAATTCACTCATTATTTTATGTTGTAATTCAAATATGCTACTTTGGTTAAAGAATAAAAAAAATGACAACTTCCCTAGACAAATTTATTTATTGAAATCATTTTCATCTTTGAAGTCTGCAGATAATAAACAGTTCGTTGGTAAGTTTCATTTACAATTTTTATCTACATCTGAATTCTTTTTTTATTTTTATTTTTATTAACATCTTTGATGTTATTGGTAGGGTTGTTGAGATATATTGTCCATTGGATAAGATCATTGCAGGGAAGTCTTCTTAACTTATTGATTTTCTAATTGTACGTGGATACAAAGTAAATTATCTAATTTTGTTATTTTTATTGTATTTTGTATATGTATTTTTTATTAAGTAGTTTATTTGGGTATAGGGACAATCAATTGAAGGCTACAGTGTGAGATCAACATATACCAAGAGTTGAAACCTTTTTTAAATTCTGGCCTTGCAAATCCTATGGTTGTTCTTATGCAATTGTGTAGAGTTAAAAGAATAATATGAAGAGTTAATATAAACACAAGTGTTTTAATTTTTCTTTATATTTGAAAGTGTTTGAATAAGGACAAGTAATGAATGTTCTTTTTGATTAGCCGGTTATGTCAAGATATGTAACTCTTGATACACAACTCCTTTTCAATCAGGATTTCCAGAGTTTTGTGATTTTCTGGAAAGGTAAATGTATTATGTTTTAATCATTATCATAATGTTTTTATCATTTATTTTTGTACATATTTTCTTTATGATTGTCATTTTTTTTTTTTGTTTTCAGTATATGTGTTGATTAGACACTCTAAGAAACATTATTGATATTTATGAGATGATTGAGGTAAACAGTAGCAATAAAACATTTTTTTTTAAAAAAAAAAATTGATGCAATGGCATCAAATTTTCTAATCATCTTTTGCCACTTTTTAAAATGATTTATTAGTATAAATTGTCACACTTTAAAATGTATTTTTTAATGTTAATAAATAAATTAGCTTAAAATAATACATTAAAATCCAAAGGATAGACAAAGTATAATCTAAAGTCTAAAATAAAGTCTTGTACATGTTTGCAAAGTGTTGGAGCATTGTAATAGTCTCTGTGCATCCAAATAAAGGCATCATTTAACTGATTATTTCTTTCTTATCTCACATTAAAGGTTCAATACTGTAGATATATATAAAGTATTAGTAATAACATTGGTACTGCTAATTGTGTATATAACTAATTATTTATTGATTTAGATCAAAGTGTGCCCTATATAATCTTAGGGCTCAAATTTTACTTCAAGATATATAACTAATCAACCTACATCAATACTATCTTATCTTCATATGAACAAAACTCATCATCCTTGGAGTGGTGAAGTATATATTAGTTGAAATTGTACTTATCTTTAGTAAATCTTTTTTTACACGTCTGGAAGATTCTTTTGAACCTCAACATGTGTGCATGTGCACATATAGAACTATAAACTGCAATTTTTAGATTGAATTCATCTTTCATGTGTAGCTATATTTTCACCAACTATAATAATTTAATAAAGCTTATTTTGTAAGCAAATGTAAAATGGATATTAACTAAAATCATGGTAATATTGTTTTCATATTCACATATTAACGTAATAACATAATACCATATAGAAAAGACATATTAGTTATATTCTATAATATAATAATATTTTTGGTAATATTATTGTTTGCAAATCCTGCATATTTTTTTTTTACGTATTTATAATACCGTGTAGAGAAGACATTAATTAACTAGGTAATAAAATAATATCATAATTGGTAATATTATGTATGATATTACCGTGAAGAATTTTTTGATGTTTATCACCAACTTATTTTGTAAGCAAATGTAAAATAGAAATTAACTAAAATCTTGGTAATATTATTTCCATATTCAATACTCTCACGTACTAACATAATATACCCTATATAACCAATTTAAACAATTTATAATATAACCAATTCATATATATATGCTACAACCTCACGGTCAAATCAATACTATAATTAAAAAGAAAATCCTATTTACTTGATTTCCTGCCCAAACAATAGTAAATAGTAAAGGTAAATTAAAAAACGAATGAAAAAAGGTACATAAATATTTCACAATAATATTCTACATCATCAATTAAAAATGGAATGGAAATTAGGTAAATTGGAAAAAGAAATGAATATTAATAATTCACTAAAAATTAAAATGAAAAAAATGAATTGAAGTTAGCTTAATCGGAAAAGGAAATGAATATTAATAATTCACTAAAAATAAAAAATGATCCATAATTGACTAAAATAAAAAAGAAAATGGTCAGATCATTGCATTTTAATTTTTCACAATAATATTATACAGTATAATACATCAAATCACAATTGTGTCATAAATCTTTCACAATTTTAAACAATGAAATGGAGATTAAAAATAGAACGAAAATATTTTAATAATAATATTCTACATCATCAAGTAAAAGTAAATTAAAAATGAAAAGGACATATTTAAATAATAATATTCTACATCATCAATAGTAAAGACATATTTTAAACAATAGTAAAGGTAAATTAAAAATGCAACAAAAATTAAAAATGAAACTGAAATATTTCAATAATAGTATTCTACATCATCAATTAAAAATAAAACAAAAATTGGGTAAAAATATCAATGCATCTGATATTCTAAATGGCTAATTGAATGAAAATAAAAAAGAATAATTGGCTGAAAATGATTATGACATTACAAATTGACTGAAAATATCAAAAGAAATGAATACTAATAGTTGACTATAAATAAAAAATGATCCATAATTGATTAATATGAAAAAAAATAAATGGTTAGATCATTGCATTTTAATTAAAAATGAAACGAAAGCTAAAATTCGACGAAAATATTTCAATAATAATTCTACATCATAAATAGTAAATGCATATTTTAAACAATATTAAAGATAAATTAAAAATGGAACGGAAATATTTCAATAATAATATTATACATCATCAATTAAAAATGGAACGAAAATTAGGTAAAAATATCACTGCATATGATATTCTAATTGACTAAAAATATAAAAGAATAATTTGCTAAAAATGAATTTGATTACTAATTGACTTAAAATATAAAAGGATCGCTAATTGACTAATACTCTACCATTATATATTTTCACCCGAGTCACCTATCCTGATGGACGGAAGGTGTTAAATCTATACGATGATGGACAGGATTGCGTTGCTACTACCAATGTCGTCTACAAAGAGGTTTCAATAATGTGTAAATACAATCGTTGATATTATGCTTTTTAAATGACAAAATTGCTATATATCTAGACAATATATATATATATATATATATATATATATATATATATATATATATATATATATATATATATATATATATATATTCCATACAAATGAATTAATATAGCAATTCATTCCTATAACTGAGTTGCTAGAGAACGGACGCATTTGTCAAATTTATAACAAAAAAATACTAAATAATGATAA